TCAGGACAACTAAAGACCTGATGACCTCTGTGGACCAACCTGAACCTCAGGACAACTAAAGACCTGATCACCTCTGTGGACCAGCCTGAACCTCAGAACAACTAAAGACCTGATCACCTCTGTGGACCAGCCTACTTTGAAGGGACCTGGGGGAGACATAAGGCTGCAGGTCCATTCAGGACCTTTTAGATCAACATTAAAATCACCTGTAAAGCAAACATGGAGCCATGAAGCAAAGCAGAGGAGATCCCTGCAGGTCCTGAGAGTCCGGTCTGACAGACACCAACATTCAGGATCACTTTTTTTATAATTATTTTAATGATTGAGTGAAGCGTCTTAAATATGACACTAAACTAAAAAAATAAMATATTTCACATTAAGATCGTTGGTGTTTTAAAACTTGACCTGGTGAACAATCACCTTAAAATCTTCTGCTTGACAAAAACTCAAACTAAGAAAACAACCTTTAAAACAACAGACACGTTTTATTTTTTATCATTAGTTGAAACATCCAAACTCTTTCAGAAACAGGATTGTTTGTGATCAGAAACATTTTACTTTCTTTCTTCCTGTGTGGTGGGAGAGTTACCAGAACCAGTGGTACAAACTGAACTAAACTAACTGTCTTTATTGTTTTTGGAAAAGGSCTTGTTTGATTATTGATAAATATAATTATTTCACATTTAACATCAGATCTATTTATTGGTTCAGAGGAAACTGTGTCCAACAGAAGAACCTGATGATCACGTTTTACCTACTGTAGCTTATCTCAAGCTCACATTTATTAAATTGTTTTATAAAAAAATCCTCTTTTACATCAAAGCTACAGTGACTCATTCAGTATCAACTGGCTTGGACAGAGCTGGACTACTGGGTTTTGGTAATCTAAAGCCTGTACCTCCCTGGGCTGCAACATGTTGGTGACCTGAAACATTGGTAAAAAATATTCAATCAGTCTGAATACGTCACTCCCACTTTTATGATTTATCCTACCGGATTAATTGAGATCTACACAACTCTGACTATTTTGAGAAAAATAAAAAGTTAAAAGTTCAAAATAGGACAAATGTTTTGAGACAATTCAGAGATGGCCTCAAAATGTTCTTCATCAACTAGTCACCAGCAGTCAGTCCTGTGAGAAACTGGTTTTASAGGTTTTTGTAGCTTCATATTTGATCAAATAATCATTTCTTTCTCTGTAGGTTTTTCTCTCAAACATGCAACTTTCTTTTTCTTTGTGGTTGGAAAACAATCCTTTTCTAAACTATTCCCATTCTTTTCAGAGAAAGCAGAATGTCTGTAGTTGTGAATCATGGTGTGGGTTTCTTTCTCTTCTTTTCTTATCCARACATGTTGATTCTCTCCTTTCACCTCCTCTTTCCTGTGACAGGTGGCAGCTCCTGCCATGGCTCTGTCAGCTTCATGGCCAGGCCTTTGGTTGCTGGTTGTTTGGTGATTTGTGTTTTCCTCTGTGCTGTTTTCACAACAGAAGGTGGATCCTTCAAAAACTGGCACCTTGGAGGCGGCGGCGAAGCCAGAACCGCCTCCGACGGTTCAGGAAGAAAAGAAAGGCGCCTCAAAATCATCCTTCGTCTCTCTCTTCAAGTCCAAAGTAAGAACTAATTCACTTCACTTCTGAGAATCTCAGGTGTGTTCTGATTTCTGTGAGTAACAAATGAATGTGAATTTGAGGTACTGTTAGATCACATGACTACAAAAGTCCAAGCAGCTTCCAGCAGTGGAGTTCGCCTCCTCAGGAAAACTGCAGGCCTGGTAAATATAGTCCTGCTGCCGCTTGTGATCAGACGCCTCATTAACCTGAGTAAAGTCACCAAATACATCTGGGATTAAAAAGTATTTTAAACAACTTATTCGCTATGAAAACCTGCCTGCCTTTGTTTGACGTGTGTGATCATCCTCCATAACGTCACTAAGACAAACTGGACCTAACAGCAGATGTTTGTCTTCATGTCACTTCAGATGTTACCTCAAAGTACATACTCTACTTAAAGGATCGTTTGGTCATTCTTATATATATGAATTTATACTGCACCAGCTGTGCCATCAGTCAGAGTATGAAGAAAAGACCAGAAGTCTATGTTCAGGCTAGGCTAATGGCTAACGACAGTAAGTAAGTAAGTAAAGTTTTATTTATAAAGCACCTTTCACAGAAATATATTCACAAGGTGCTGTACAATCATTAACAGTATAAAAATGGTGAAAAGAATAAGATGGAACAGAAAAACATAATTAAACATAAACAACGAAAATTGAAACATCAAATCAAGAATTAATTTCAAAAATTGTAAATCAAACACAAGGTCAATGCAGGTCAAAATACACAATAATACACAAAAACATTATGAATGTGAGAGAGAGAAATATGGTGTAAGTTCAACAATAAAGAAAACACAGATTAGTGAAGCATTTACAATGGAGGTAGGCTGGCAGTAATGGTGAAATGTTAGCTAAACGTCTTAGTGAAAAAGTGAGTTTTTAGGAGTGACTTGAAAGAAACGCTGGGCCTCATGTAACAACATGTTCGTATTCTTCTCCTAAATTTCTCTTACTTTTGTTCGTACAAAGGGTTCGTACGAACA